CCAAAAGAGGCTTAGCTTGCTAGTGGGACGATCTTACTTAAGATGAAGGGGCAAGACCTTAATTTCAAACCTAGGTCGTTAATTCAGGGTGACGTCGGTGACGTCGTTAAAATTTGCCAAGATTCTACTTGATTTTCATTGCTTCCCAAGATTAGCTTCCGTTCATAACCAAGATTTGTTCTTGTTAGTCTGACTTGAGCACCATGACTGGCCGCTCTGGTTCCACGGCCAAATGATTTTACCTCCGCTTCACGTTGCGTCAAGTTCGGACAGATAAAGCAGCTTGCTCTGGCTGCGTCTGTGCAAGTGGTGGCTTCAAGCTCAACAAAGCATGCCTGGATATGTCTGGGCTATGGCTATGGCGGAACAGTCACAGTCAAATGTTTCGTTTGGACCGTGAAGCCACGAATTCCGAGGAATTCCACGATCATATGAATGCGTTTCGGTTTTAGCTTTTCTGTCAGGAGCAGGAACACAGTTGTAAGTTGTAAGCCTCTACCCCCTTCGAACCAAACTTCAACAAATTTCTCTTTTACAGTGTTCGCCAAAAAAAGATTTCGTCGACTCCTTAGCACTGAAACGGCCGAGAGCAGATCTGCAGAACATTGCAACATCTCCGTGTCCAGTGGAAATCGGTCGATTTCTATGAATCAACTGGGGTAAGCAATGGTTGTTTGCCCTTCGCCAGGGATCGTTGCCACCTTACCGCCCGAAACAAAGCATGCTTACAGTACTGTGACTATTCTTGATGATGCAATTGCCAATCACTGTGAATCTACGTGATTACACATGTGTATCTTCATTCTTCATCATGTTGGGTTTCAGAATACTAGCTTTCAAATGTTTTCAAAGTAATGGGGGTTGACCAGAAAAAACTGCCTTCATATTCTAGTTTCTTTGGCACAGTACTCATTCGTATTCCTTTTATCTCCTTTACACTTTTACATCTTACCTCCCCAGTATGTTGCCACGCTCTGCATCCCTCGGGCGCGCAAGAGATGAGGGGCATTTTCGGTTCCTGCACCAGCACCCGCTTCATGACTTCACGCTGAGGGTGTTCAAATTGGCGCCCAGTAAAATCTCTGAAATGACCAGTTTCTAGTGATAAACTTAATACCCATTGAGGATATTGTCACCTCAGAAAACAAATTAATTGAGCTGCACAGCCACTTGAAGGATGAACAGATGCCAATGTATGGATGGACAAATGAAACCAAATCTTTGGTTCAAGACCTTCAAAAGACAATGGAGAGGTCGTTTGGCGTTTAGACCTTTTCCAGGCGCTCCTTGACCATCGCGGCCAAGGTCACGGACACGTGGAGATGTTGGCGAACCAATGAAGGACCAAGGGAGCACAAGTGGGAGCACAGCCAGCCTCCCCCGGGTTTGTCTGGTTCGCAAATTGCCAAGCCGCAAATGATTCAAGTATAAATTTAAAAGCCAAGGACCCACACAGCATAAACACCTGCCACAAAGGTATACTTGGCCGGCGGGACTTTGCTAAGTTTAGCTAAGTCTAACTTGGACTTATAAGTACTTAGTAAGTACTTAGCTTGGACTTAGCTCAGGGTAACTTAGCTTGGACTTAGCCTGGACTTAGCTAAGACTGAGAAGTCCGAGCGAGGTCGAAGCTAAGTGTTAGTTTGTTTGATCAGTTTGAGCTAAGTCAAAGCTAAGTCTAAGGCAATTATTGAAAAATAACAATGAAAACTGAAAACCGAAAGCTCGGTCTGGGAGTGCGCTGGTAGACTTTTCTCTCACGCGAGCATCAACAGTCATCATCTGAGCATCAACAGCCAGCATCAACCATCACATATTTGAAACTATTTTTAATACATTGAAAAAATAGTTTTGGGTTAATTACACTGTTAATACCATCATAGTTAGTGTATCACCGTTTAACTAAACTTAAATATTGTCAGAAGTCTTCTGACAAATTGTTGTTGACATGTACCTTTTAAACAATGTAATAATGTCATTCTGACATCTGTAAGAATTTTCTGACATTGGCCAGAATATTTTTCTGACAAATGTCAGAAATATTTACTATTTACACAAATATTTTCTGACATGTGTCAGAATTTTCTGACAAATGTTAGCTTAGATTTAGTTTTAAAAGGCAATATTGTCATATTGTTCTGACAAATTGTTGTTTACATTTTCTTTTAAAAGGATATACTGTCAGATTTTGTCAGAATCTTCTGACAATTGTCTGAATATTTTCTGACATTTGTCAGATTTTTCTGACAATTGTGAGAATATGTTTCTGACATTTGTCAGTTTTGGATATATGTCAGAATATTTTCTGACATTTGTCAAAAATATGGAAGATGAAGACAAGTTCTAAACTTGTCTAAATAGAATTGTGATAATGTTTAAGTCTTTGGGGTGAATGATTCAAAGACTTCAGGATGAAGACAATGTCAAAACTTTATATCATGCGACTGCTTGACGCATCCTATTTTCGCCAAGTGCTCTATAGGATGCCGTAGAAGAATCAACAAGCGGCCACGACGCGGAATGTAACAAAGAATAACGGCGCGGCCGTATGCTGGCTGGTTGTCGGTTGGTGGCTGCGTTCGACGCATTTTGGGTTGATTTTGCTTCAATTTTTGAGCCCCGACTTAGCTTTGACTTAGCTTGGACTTATAAGTCTGAGCTAAGTCGAATCTAAGTCCAAGCTAAGTCTTAGCCCACTTAACTTTGACTTAGCTAAGTCAAACCTAACTACTTACTAACTCTTATAGGCTGAGCCAAGTCCAAGCTAAGTAAAACCTAACTTCTATAGAGGTTAGCAGACTTATAACGTTGGTTATAACTAGGTTAGGTATATATATATGTATATAACCTAGGTTATAAGTCCACTTAGGGCAACCGCCGGCCAAGTAAGTTATGGGCATCAACAATGTTTAGATTTCGTGTCAGCACTTTTTGTTTGCATGGCTTACGTGGCACCAACACCTGGCACAAACGAGGGGCGCGTGACATTTGCCTTGTGCTCGGTTACAACGAGGCATTGGCTGCATAATTGACCGTTGCTTTTGTGAAAAAAATGTTTCCATGTGTGAGGGGCGCGGAGAATTTGCATTCTTCAGTTGTTGCGGAAACCCCAAAGTAATAAAAGCAGGGGATCATCGCAAGTCCAAACACCCGTGTAACATCATACACTTTCATTTCAAAACCTATAAACCCCAAGCACCGCCAAATCCGGCGAAATCATGAACATTCCGTTCCTGAGGCCACGGCCAACACACAAACGCCGCCGGCAGCAGCACACGGTTGCGCCGCACCATCATTGGACTGAAAGCGCGAACAAAAAAGAGTTACGCAAATCACCATGTACTGCATAACGTCAAACAATAAACATGAAAAGAAAATGTGGCGCATATAAAGAAACCATGTGCATACACGCCGCCTTTCACACCAATGCTCCCAGGTGATTCTTCATACCAACTTGTTCACACGCAGGCAAGCTTGCAAGCCGACTTGATGGAACTGCAGACAGAAGCAAAACACACACCCCAAAAAAAACAACTGTTCCTTCTCTGGATTGTAAGGAACCTGGTGCAACCCCACAAAGCGGACAAAAAACCACAGCTACTTCACTGGCGTTGAGCAGGGCAGGACAGCTGATGCGCTGCTGTGTTTGGGCGCGCGAAGCAATCTCCCAAGTGGATACATAGAATCCACTGTATGCGCAAGGTCGCGCAGGACATGTCTTCAGGGAATCTGTCATGTTCGGGCCGTCTTCGGAGCTGGGGGCGTCTTCGGGGAATCCGTCTTCGCTAGGCATCTTCGGGTGGGAATCCGTCTTCGGAGCTGGGGGCGTCTTCGGGGAATCCGTCTTCGCTAGGCGTCTTTGGGGGG